ACGTTCAAGGAGTCCATTTTTAAATGTTTCTTGAAACTTGTTTGAACTCATTATTTTATAATATACCGGTAGTTTTTTATACATTTTTAAACCTACATACAAAGGACTTTTTTCAAATAAGGTCAAACGGTGATTCGGTAATCTGAAAATTGTTTCGTTTCTTGTACTATAGTTGTGTGTGAATTTGAATGAATCTGGGAGGTTATTTTTTATATTGTGTATGTAGTTTAGTAATTCAAATATGTATAGTCCTGTGAGTGTTTGGATTTTTAAATTTTGAAAATGTAATTTACAAGGACTTCTGGGGTGGGAATTAGTCATAATTCGGATGATTCTTTTCTGAAGTCTGAAAATAGTTTTTGCATCAGTTGCCTGTCCCCACAAAATCACACCATACCTCAAGATGGATTCTACATAGGCATGATAAACCATTTTAAGTACTTCAATGGTGACACATTCTCTCAAGTGGACAAAGACAGATGATGCAGATCTAATTTTTTTCTTTATAACATCTAGATGCACCTTCCAGTTAATATTTTCATCTAGATGAATGCCTAGGAATTTATTTGAATGGACTAAATTGGAAAAACTATTTAATTCTCTTTCATTTCTGGATGAAAATTTTATAATTTGGGTTTTATCCACATTTAGTTTAAGGCCATTTATTTTAAACCAATTTTCCATTTCTTTCATAACTTCTGTGAGAGATGTAAGAAGCTCTTCTCTACTATTTTCTTTAATGATTGCAGTAGTATCGTCAGCAAACAGAATCAAATCTCTATTAACACGTTGGGTGCTGATGACGGGAATTCCCGCAATTGCTTAACATTGAAATAAATGCAACTTTTATGTTCAAACATGTCGACAGCACAAATAGTGTTAATAGCTTTAGGGAGGTCATTTATGTCAGATTTGCCACCAAGCATCATCATTCATGAATCTATTGTATTACTTGACCCAAATAATAAATCCGATTTTTTTTTTAATTCTTACTTCAATTAAAGCGGTATTGCGCCAGTTCTGATTACATTATCCTATATATTTTGGTCTAAGAAAAGAACCTTCAGTGAAATGCCAGCTTTAATTTTGAGCTGTTGATTACTGTATTATGATTGGACGTACGTAAAGCACGCTACTGAATCACGAATCTACAATAATTATTATTATTTTAACACTTATCTGAAATCAATGATACGTAACTCCATTTGTATTGAGTTATTCTACATGTCTTGGTCTTAAAATAAGCTACCCCTCAAAACAAATAAGGCTTTCATTGGAATGTTGGCCATTTGAATAAGTTAAGTTCAAGTAACTGTTTGTATTAGCCTACTCAATTATTACCATTATTGTGAATTTTATGTTAACCCGGGTAACACAGAGTTTTGCTGCTAATATTGTATTAATATTATGATTATATCAAATCAAAACCATTATAATATTCAATTTAAGGTTAGTGCTAGACACTGATCCTTAGCTGAAATAAAATTATTCATTTTCTTTTGCGATACGGATAAGTTGCCTTCTATTTTTCCTAAAAGGTTATCAAAAGAACGTCTCGTCTCCCGAAAACAACCAAAATACATCTTGTCATCCTCTCTGAGATCATCATATATAAAAACTTAAAGATACTCCTGAATGTCTTACTTTTAGTAACTGATTGCCTCCCAATACTTTTGTTTCGTCTACGTTTACAACGCTTAAGTAAAACAGTAATAGTAAAATAAATAGTTCAGCTTCTTTACTTATTCACTCTGAGAAACTACATGCAAGTTAGTCTGCATAAAATTCGGTTAGACGCGTGACCTCGCCACACCTGTCGCTACCCCTAGCCACACCTGTGGCTACCCGAAGCGACTGGCAGTCGTGGTCGCACGCGACTCAAGTGGCCGCGCATAATAAGGCTCTAAAATGCCCGAGCATTAATAACTTAGGGCAAATGCCGAGGATAAATACCTGAGCACATACCCATTTCTCATAAGCGCCCGGGCAATTGTGGGTGTTGAAAAAGTAATTCATTTAACTTACGGTATAGCTTTTTCTATGGCAAAAAATGCTTCTATTAAAATAAATTAATAAAACTATAAAACTTTAGTTTAATAAATAAAGTAAAACAAAATTTGTTATTGGTGTAGGTAAAATGTGTTTATAAAAAAGAGAATAGTCCTCATAAAAATCATGAGATGAAATACATAGCCTATACCGGTAGTTTTGTTTGTTAAAAAAATTTTAAAGGCTGAAAAATAAGTTTTTTTCAAAACTTCCCAGAGCTAAGCAGTTTAAAATTTCTGAAGAGATAGCGTAAACAGTTATTTTTTCAGCAAACCCCTTCAAATATAATTTAGAATAATAAATTAAACATTATTGAACGGAAAGAAAAAAAATGTTTTCATAAATGCCCAAGATGTGGGCATTTATAATTTATAATTATAATTTATAATTTATTTGCCTCGGGCAAATAAAGAGTTAGGTTAAACAGTTATATTACAGTAGACTCCCTCTTATCCGGACTCCTCTGGATCGAGGCTAGTCCGGATAACGGTTTTTCCGGTTAAACCAACGTCCCCAAAAACTTGTTAAAACGGACCTTTTACTGTGATATTCAACTTAAATTTAGGAGAGCATTGTATTTAGTCACGTGATAACTGGTCTCAAATATTTCCCATGAGAACAGTTGTTTCAGTACCGCCCACTTCCTGCCAATCTAGTCCGGTTAAACCAATGTGCTGATAAAAGTTGTCCGGTTAAAGAGATGTCATTTCCGCCGAGTGTAGTCCGGTTAAACAGATGTCCGGTTAAAAGGTGTCCGGATAAGAGGGAGTCTACTGTATACAATAAACCCCTTCAAATGTCATTTTAAATATCAAGTTAAACACTATTTTGAATTTTGAGACAATGATAAGCACAAAAAACACTTCTTTTTCATAAATGCCCAAGATTTGGGCATTTATAACTACCGCGGGCAAATGCCCTCATGAACGCCCATTTATAAACGTCCCGCCCACTGAGTATTTGTCCACCCCACATTACTATCCTGGAGTAGTGTTTATGTGATACTGTCTGGTGCTTCACTTCCTGGGCAATCCTGGAGGGAAATTAATTTTTAAGGGAAATCAAGCAAGATTTTAAAGAGGAGATAAGAGGTTACTACGGATTTCATGTCACTTTTGAGTTGTCCTTCTGTAATAAGTCCAGTTTTGGCATCAAGTTGCAAGAAACGACAGGCAGGAAGTAAACTGTAGTAACTGAGGAGGTCCGAGCCAATGATAGGAACACTGACATTAACTGTGAACTGCTAAGCAAAACTATGGTGGAGACCTAGGTCCAGTGTCAAAGAGGTTCCATAGGTCTTGATAGCTCTATCATTAGTGGAACTTAGTTCAAAGTGGGTAGATGCACGACGGTCTCGTAGAAGGCGCTTTTATTAGAAAAATATGATCCAAACCAATTTGTATAAGAATATTATGTGTGATGCTATCAATAGCTTTCGTAAGATCCATAAAAATACCAACTACTTTATTTCCTATATCAACTGCATCAATTATAGCAGGCTAACTGTAAATTCTATTAAAGCAGTAGTTACGAACTTGCCTTAGCGAAAGCTATGTTGATCATTATTTAACAAATTATCTACAACATGATTGTACATCAATCTTTCATAAGATTTGGATATCAAAGACAACTAGGACATGGAGGTAGCCTGGATTATTTTACATTAACTTAATTTTTCCCCCTAACTTGAAAATTGGAATAACTTCTTAATGGCCTGGCAATACTAAGCACTAAAAATACCGGAGATACATGTATGCACATTCAATGGATATATTTTAAATAGGTTTAAAGGTCTAACACACACACCAGTTCCAGCATGTTAGCCTACAGTTCAGTCACACCAGTCACATCACAGTAAAAAATTTATTCTTTAATGGATTTTATTTTGTGCTACCAACAATCATCTAGCGCAGTTCCAAGGCAGAACCTCCAGTCACTATGTCGTTATCCGTCAGAAAACTTCAAATTTCTTCCCACCAATTTCTTCTATTTTGGGATGGTTCGGACGCCTGACAGACTTTTGATGTATATGTTTGACATTAAAAATATTGTTTTTGTTATTTAAATAATAATTGTATAATATTTTAGGTACTGTTTAAAGTAACAATCATCAATATTGACGAGAAATTTATGGAATAGGTACCTATTGTGTTTTAGTAAAAAAATTAAAGTGACGGAAAATTGACTGAAACTAATAGACTGAAAATTGACTAAAGGTCGATTCACACATATCAGTTACGGCACGTTACAGTCCAGTCACAGTTAGGCCTAACAAAAATATTCTTTAATGGATTTTCTATAAAGCTATCTACTCTAATCCGTTGTAGTTCCATCAATCGCTCTGCCGGCGTCCGTCAGCCAATTTCAGGTGTCCGAACATTCTAAAAATATCGGTGGGAAGAAATCTGAAATTGACTGACTGACGCCAGCAGAGCAGCTGACAGACCTGCACCGTATAAGTGTGGATAATGCAATAGAAAATCTATTAAAGAATATTTTAGAAAAATGTAACGTGACTGATGTGACTAACCTGTGACGTGCCGTAGCCGATATGTGTGAATCAGTCTTTAGGAATTGAGGATGTACCGTAACTGTGACTGAAATGTGGATGGACTGATGTGTGTGTATCTAATTTGGGTAACTTACAGTTTCTTAACTGGGCTACGCTAACAGGCCTTTCGATTGAAAATATCGATTCGATTAGTAAACCTTCATTCGATTTTTTTTAACTATAGCCTAGCAATTATAAAATGAAACTGTTATAACCTAACCTAAACAACCAAACTTGCGAAATGAAAATTTGCTAATAGAATCGATATTAGCATAGCCAAGTTAAGAAACTGTACCCTCAAAATTAATAGTACTTTCCTTTATAAAACCACAAGGGGAATAGCCTAGTGCTCTTGGAAGCAATTTTCTTAACAATTTCAATTTATCTAGAAATTTCTTACCTTTATCAAAGCTTTGTTTTTTGAAACACCAGGTAATCCACGGTCACTTTTCAACATTCTACCTAAGACTTGATGTTTGGACCGGTTAATGTGAACTTCAAATGGGTTAAGTTTTTTTGAGGTTACCTTCCGAATATTATCACTCAAAACCCTGCCTTTATTTTTAATTTTCATTTTTAACTCTTCGAAGGGACAGAAATATTTAATAATTCCAAATTCTCTTTTGTCAAAGTAGGGATGTACTTTAATGCTTCTCAAATCAATTAAAAGTAATTGCCCTAGACTATAAGGTGATGTTTACATTATAGTTTAGAAATGGAAATGGAACGAAACAAGTAATAACAACATAACCTACAATACACTTGTAGTTTATAGGGGTCTGACTTAGGGGAGGTACAAATAAGGCATTTAGTTCAAAATTCCTCCGTGAACAGCGCTGTAGTAGAGAGCACTTTGGCAATAAAGGTTTACTAATCGCAAAAATAGTTCTGTTCATAAAATAAAACTATCATAACCTAACCGAACTAACCAAACTTGCTGATTAAGAAATAATATAGGCCTAACAAAAGTTAAGTAATCGGAAAAATAATTCTGTTTATTAAATAAAACTAGAAATTGCTCAATTAAAATTTTATAATGACTTAATAATAAAATTAAACTGTAATAACCAAACCAAACCAACCAAACTTGCTGATAATAAAATACCCCCGCCGCAGCAAACCTGCCGACTAAGCGAATTTCCATTCGTCTGAATTCATTTTAAACTAAACCTTTTAAAATAACATTAGGTTTAATGAGTACCTAGGTTTGCTTGCTGCAACAAGGAAACTAATAAAGTGTATTTTTTTGTAAAATATTATATTAATATTATATTATATTAATAGCTTAGCATAAAATAAATAAATTTTCCAAATTTGATCAAAATATATCCATAAACAAGCAAACTAAACTACAACATTTTACAATATTCTCCATAAGAATGGTATGGGAATTTTACATTTACAATTTTTTGAATTTTCTCCGTTACCAATAACCGTACAAAAACACTTTGATATACCAAATTATTTGTGTTTTTAAGCTCTTTAAAAAGGTCTAGAGAGAAATTAGGAAATTTGTTGCTTTGAGGGTCAAAAATGAGGAAAACAATTTTTCACCCCATGAAACCCCCCGTAAAACCCCGTTCCCATGGTCCGATCATGCTGGTTTGCAAACTCATTCAAGTTTATCCCGCCTTACACCTTTAAACCAAATTTCATCAAAATCTGACAAAAATTACTCAAGTTATCGCGTTCACGGACGTATATATATATATATATAGCCTATATATATATATAAATTTGAACGAATGGTGTTTTTGGCCTCTGAGGACATCAAAATGAAAAAGTAAATCGGTCCCGGGCCTAGGTCTTACCGTGCCACCTACGGTAATAACTACTCCCCTATAGGGAAATTCGCTAAAAATACATAGCATAATTTTCTCACTCACTGTCCAGTACTACGGCCACCTCTAACTACAGGCACGGCCGCAGCCTGGTAGAATTGGCAACGTCGCAAGTGGTGTTGTTCAGTGACAGACGTCCCATAAGATAACATGGCAGACACGTGACATCAGCTCATTAATTCGCTCTTTATTTATTTAAATTTAAATTTATGAACATAAATTTATTAAAATATTGAAAATGTAACATACAGAATTGAAAACCGAAACAATAATAATTAAAATCTATATCTGTACATTTTTAAGCGGAGTCAATACTGTCAATATTGAATTAATGAGCTGTCACCTGTCTGCCATGTTATCTTATGGGACGTCTGTCACTGAACAACACCACTTGCGACGTTGCCAATTCTACCAGGTCGCGGCCTGTTATTAAAGGTGGCCATGCATTATCACTTAGATAAAATCCATTGGTGATTTGGTGGGATTTTAACCCGGGAGGCCGGGACCCCAGGAAACAGAGTCCTGCGCTCTAACCACTAGACCAGCTCGCTCCCCAACACAATATGAATTAAAAATCTATATCTATAGATTTTAAGCGGAGTCAATATTGTCATAGTCCAGTAACAAATCTTTCGTAAAAAAAAAAAAAATACCATTACTGTAGCTGTTTCCAAACGGAGTTGAATATTTACATGTGTAATGTTATAGTTTTCGTTTATTGGACTTTGATCTTTGGTGGTCTTTGAATTTGACCAAATCCTTTTCCTGTTACGCTAGATAAACCCTTGGAATATGGATCCCTCCATGGACGAGTTCTTCTCTCCGTTTGAAACTTAGTGATTGCATCGAGAATTTTTCGCTGAAAAGTATTACATATATTCGGAGTGTTATTTTAATTTACATCTATTGTTTCATCTTAGAAAATCGATTGAATAGTCTGTTCAGATAAAATAATTAGGTAAGTTATAAGCATGAGTACTTATATTTAGGTTTCTAATATATTTTAGAGTTGCTGATTCCACAACAACACTGGAAGCAATTGATGCCATAATGGTGTATTAGGCCTAATTGTTATCTTGGCCAAGATAAAACTAAATTCCGTTTAAAGATGTTTAGTCCCATACATTATATGACATTTCAGATAGGCCAAATTAACTTTTTTTCCATAAAGTAAATGGCCTACAATGCTAGCTAGTTCTCTGTCAAGCAATAATGTAATGCTTTGGCAACATTACCTTATAGGCTAAAACTATGATGGGTGAAACTTTTGATATCAGACTCAATCAAAAATAAAAGTATCTACTTGACTGATAACCTAACTTTAATTTACTTTAACCAAGAACTATATATTGATTGTAACATTCGATAGCTACGATATCAAAGTTTTGCTGGTAGGCTATAATCAAATAGGCTGGCTAAAACCTACGCTAAGTTATAGCCTAATAGTTTTGGAATTATAATATCGTTCACTTACCACCCTTTCAAAATGAGTTACATGATCTTACCAACCAACCTATTGCTATTCATGAGTATATTTCCATTGTTAACACGTTGACTCCTGAAAACCTTCACTATGGCACTCCCTAAACTGCGGGCGGAGCCCCAGCGCGCTACTGAATCAGCGATCGCTATTGGCATTGAAATATCTCAGTAAGTTAAGACGAATCACAAAAGAGCAGTGATGATTGTTCACCCCGAATGTGGACGTAGCTCACTGAAACACCGAAAGGGAGCAGCACTGCCTGGATCAATAACCAGAGTCTTTTTAGCTTGAATAGAGAAATTCCCCAAAAACGGGACAAAAACATTGCCAGATGGGATTTTACGGGAATGTTTAGTATCAACCTACATCAAAATAAAGCTCACATTCTAACTACAGCCTGGCAACAATCATAATGTTCCTGGCTGTGTGCTGGGCTCATACTGACACAATGTTTGGCAGGCGAGCACACTAGTGATATAGCAGTAGGCAGCAAGCAGTGCCAGTGCCGAGCTACTGCTATAGCAGTAGGCCGCAGTCAACGTGTTAAAAAAAAGATTGTCACCATTTTCCCCGATTTAATCTTAAAATACCGTACAGATATATTTCTTTCAGGTGGAGGCCTGGGGTCAGTGGACACACTAGTTTGTCTATTTTCAATTGTATTTCAGTTTATTATCATAAATGAATAGTTAAAATAATCGTAACATGGGTTTTTTCCATGGAAACCTAATGTAAAATGGTAGCATTTAGTGTGTGTTTTCATTTTTGGTACTTCTGGCCTTTTTTACTGTGCTCTAGTGGCGTAACGGTTTGCCGTAGAAACAAGTATTATAAAGGAAACATGTGTAGTAAATTTTGTCTTTTTTAATTTTACAACGCAGTGGCTTAAAAAACCCCATAATTACCGAGATTTTGCCCAAAAAAGTGCCAAAATTGGGTTTTCCCAAAATAAACCATGTTACAGGCATAATATCTGTCAGCAAACCTCATATTCGTGTTCAGCGACCCAAAAAACACAAAGAAAAGTGGTGATTAGCTCTATACCTACCTAAACTTTCCGCTAAATACCACATATATTCCTAATATGCCTTGTCTATAAGTTAAATAATTAAATATCTTGAATCTAAACTAGACCTACAACTCTGAATTTAAATATTTTTGTTATTTAAGCACACAATAAATAGTATGATACTGAAAGTCTAACCCACCTCACTGTACACTCAACTGCAACCTAATCTGAACTTTTAGAAGGACTTAAAGTATAGGCCTACCCATTTATCATCTTAAATTATTTATGTGTCTTTATCTAACTTATGCTATTGGAATTTCTTTTTAAAATAAATCAAATATATAATGATGGAAGGAAAATGGGTACTTTTGTATTATATGGAGGCCACCCTTATACAGCGCACTGCTGCGGTGGTTTAAGTAATTCTAGACTCCAATATTTTCATAGGTTGTTTTCTAAAGGAAAGCAATCATCTGCGGTTCGCTGGCGTAATCTAAAACGTCTTGGATTCGGAAAGCAAATTGACTCTGTCCCATTATCAATGCCTTTAAATGATTTGAACAATTAATTCTTATCAGTCTCATCACATGAAAACAATCAAATAGTTCAGAACCATTTAACTGAGTTAAAATTACGTCAATTGCCTAATACTATTCCCCAATTTAACTTTAAGCCAGTATTGCAGGTTGATGTTTTGAAGGCTATAAGACGGATAACGTCTGATGCCACTGGTTCTGACAGAATCCCAATTTCCTTAATTAAACGTATCTTGTTTGTAACACAACGTAACGTCTCTCCTCCCAACAATAACTTTCATATTTAACACCTCACTGAGATTAGGCATTTTCCCAGAAAATTGGGAAGTCTGCGCTTGTCCGTTCCTTGAATAAGATCTCATCCCCATCGCTTCCGCAAGACTACAGACCAATAAGCATTGTTCCTGCTCTCTCCAAAGCGCTAGAAAGAGTTGTTCACTCCCAAGTGTCTGACTTTCTGTCACAAAACAATATTCTTAATATATTTCAGTCTGGTTTCCGTAAATATTTTATCAGCAATGCTTCATAACACTATGATATACGATTTGCTATGGATCGTAGCCAATGTATACCATTTTGACATTATTTGACTTCAGTAAAGCTTTCGACACAGTAAACCATAACATTCTTCTAACCAAACTCCAGCTCATAGGATTCTCTGACAATTCATTAAAATGGATTAGATCATATCTTCAGGGCCGAAAGCAGTTTCAGTTTGTGTATCATGACAACTTAACGTCGGACTGGAAACATTTTCCCTGCGGAGTTCCTCAGGGTTCAATTCTTGGTCCACTGTTTTTCATAATATACATAAATGACATTAACTACAATACTCCACCACGTAAA